CTTGTGTTTTGACCGACAAATATTAGCCAGTATGGTGGTCCATCTTCTCTATATCTCGGAATGTTTTCCAAGATATCCATAAACCAAGCATTTGGTGTTGAACTAAAGATTTTTACCATGAGTGCTTTCTTTGTTGCCTTAGAAACATACGGGTCCTTGTTTGAATTCGTCATTTTTAACCCATAAGAAATGGGTTTATTTGGCGCATTAGCAGGAGTCGCATCTAGATTTTTGCCCGCAGTGGGAACACTAGCCAGAGGTGCATTTGGAATTGGAAGGAAGATTTTGAGTACATTAGGTATACTGAAAGAGAAAGCACAACCTATTATACAAACTGTACAGAAAGGTTGGGAGGTAGCACGAGATGCAGCAAATCTTATTCCAAATCCTGAAACAAGAGGAAAAGTTCAAGGATGGATGGACAATGTAGGAAGACAAGCAGGAAACTACTATAACAAAGCAAATGACTACTATAACCAAGCAGGGCACTACATGGACCAAGGTGAAAGATTCTTTAACAGAGGATATAACCATGCACAACAGTGGGTAAACAACAACCAACCTCAACCGCCTCAAACGTGGGGAATGTAAAATTTTTTACTGAGATGAAATGAACAATACAGCATTGAGACAAATGGGCTCAAGATGGCTTTGTCGGCTTCCAGCAGTTACACAACCACGTGTTTGTCAAGTTTTTCCTATACCTCAGGAAGTTTTAGACCGACTTAAAAAACCTAAACAACCAGTTGAAAACAAACCAAACTAAAATTTTTTACTGAGATGAAATGACCGAAGAAGTTGAAACGGTAGATTTGACACCACAAACAAAAAGTTCAGAACCATTGTCAAAACCTGTCAAAGAACTTACCGATGAAGAGAAAAATTCAATAATAGAAAGTGTGAGGTCTGGAAATACAAACCCTAACTACAAAGTCACTTTTCATAAAAATGGAACGGCTAGTATCTCAAAAAAGAAACAGACTCTCACAAATAAAATATTGAAGTCTGAAGGAACTTTCGAGACAACAGATGGAAAAGTTTACTTCACTGACCAACAGTTCATTATAGAACATCTCATTGACTTAGAGTCGAAATATTCTAAACTTTACAACAAACACAAAAAGTTGAAAGGAAAACAAAAACAAATGGCATATGACATTTATGAAGATGTTGACGACACTACTGTTCCAGCAAGTGAGGTAAAGTCAGATGAACCGAAAAGTGACGAAAAACCAATAGAAGAAGAAAAACCAAAAACTGAAGATAAACCAAAACCAAAGGTTAGTTTCCAAACTAAACCAAGTCAACCTTCATTAGCTGGTATGGGTTGGCGTCAAAGACTTATGGCAGCAGGTGGTTATGTAAAGTAAAAAAACATTTTTTTATTTTTATAAAAATGCCCCCATATAGAATGGACAGAAAATCTGCTAGAATAAAAGCAGAGTTGCAAAGATATGGTTGGAGAGTTTCAAAGAAGTTTAAATATAGGAAGGGAAAGCCAATAAAAGTCTATGACAAATTGTCTGGTCTTCGCTACGAAATGGAATTGGAAACAGCACGCGCAAATTATCCAAACAGACTAGAGAGGTTAGAAGAAGAACGTCTTATGAACATGCCTTTCAATGTTACTGAACCTCAAGTTGAAGGACACGACGGCTTTGCCAGATTCTACTGGAAACATGACGAACAATTGCATCCTTTGAGGAGGAAAAAAGGAAAAGGTGAAGACACACATGCTCCCATGGAAAGAACAAGATATGCATATGAGAAGTATCGTGAAGTTAGAAGTAAAATTACTTCTGGTCGAACCTTTACAGTAAACTTTGACGAAGGAAAGAACAAAGAAGGCTTCATGGGAGTACTTGCTGCAATTCAAGACGGAAATAAGAAAGGATACAATCTCAGACTAACCGTAAAAGATTTGGATGGTCATATTTACTATGCACATGGCAATGTCACAACAGCCGCACAACTTCTTGACGCTTTCAAGACTACAAAGAGAGAACAAATGTTTGACTCCGACTCAGACATTTTGAATGCAATTGAAGGAATTGCAAGCGTGAAGTTCGAATGGTACCAACCCAACCCTCAAGCAGTCAGACAACATGCTGGATACTTCCCGTTCAGAAATAAGTCTGACATTGACTTAACAAGGTATGGAATTTACAATTCAATTGAAACAATTGTCAATGAACCTTGTATTCTTACATGTCTCAGGAACTCTGGTCTTGTTACAGATGAGAAGATGAAGTATCTTGAGTCATGTGTGAAAACAAGGTACATTCTCAGAAGTCAATTGACAAAGATTGCACCGTTGGCAAATGTGAATATCCGAGTCAACATACCTACAGCTAAAGGTTCTTCACATGACGACTATGTTGTTGACAAAGACTTACCATGGTTGAAGATTGTACTTGTCCACAACCACTTCATGTTGAACGAAAGTCTTACAAACCCATTGTTCGGAAAAGGTAAGTGCAACATTGTCAGAGCTGTTAACATTCTTTTCGAGAAAGGTTTGTTGGAACCAATTCCAGATGACAAGCTGACAGAAACTTTTGTACCAAAAGACGAAACAAACTTTTCATTGTTAGCAAGACCAAAAGTTGTTCCAGACAAAGTTATAGCACAAAAGAAGTACACAGTTCCAAAAGGAGTTGGATTGTTCGGATACCAACCTGAACCAGAAGAACTTCCAATGAGGTTGCAAGAACTTCAAGATGCTATAAACAAACTTCCATTGAGGCATCCAGTCGACGTCAAATTGTATTGGAGAGCATCAGAGTTAGGTCAGAAGGTTTTATATGAAACAGGTTGCTTTGACGATGTTTATGAGATAACAGGCGAGGTTTCTCAGAAGATAAGAGACTCACTTGAATTTCCACGAACTGGACCCATTGGTTGCGACAAGTTCGACTCATATGAAAAGATATACTATGTCGACCTTAACGCTGCGTACATGAGGTTTGTCCAATATATTCCGACTGGAATTCCAAACGAAAAAGGTGAGTTCCCGGGAAGGAACTATACAGTTGGAAAAGTCATACAACAACTATATGATATTAGGAAAGCTTCAAACCCCAAACTTGCAATGACACTCAAATTGCTTATGAATTCGACATGGGGATATTCCATTAAAAAACCTCAAAAGATGAAGAGTAAACACTATGAGAAGGTCGACAACTTTGTTGAAAGGTTTTCTCCTTTTGTTTTGAAATACGAATTTACTCAAGGTCAAGGTGGCTCAGTAACCACAGTAAAACCTATTGTCGAACATTGGTCTTATCCTCAGTTCGCAAAAGCAGTCCTTGACAACTACAATGAGTTCTTCTCCGATGTTAAATCGAAAGTGAAGGTATACTATGAGAACATTGACGCACTCATGACGAACGAGGAAGGCTATAACAAACTCATTGAAATGGGAATGGTCGGTGAAAAGATGGGCTGTTTTAAGCTAGACAAGGTATTTTCCGAAGTTCATGTAATATCGAAAAGGAAGTACTGGGGAATACTTGAAGACGGCACAGAAATAAAACATTGCATGAAATAAAAAATGGCATACCATTTTAAAACGTTTTTAAAACAGTATATTTTTACATATATAAAATGCTTCAGGTTGAAAAACAAAGAACAAAAGTAGCAGATACAAAACCGTTAGACTATATCTTTACAAACGCTGGTAGGACTATTTCAGATGAAGAAATTTCATCCGGAGCTTACAGGTTTAACTATCCAATTCGCTGGCTTCAAAGTCCTTCAGATGCAAAGGCAATAGGATTTAGAAGAGTTTTGTTTTCAAATAGAACTAATGCATTCATGTTCGCAGTATATTTTCATGGCCAGTATAAAGGCTCTGATGGTCTAATAGAAAAATTTGACGAAATGAGGATCTTTACAGTTCGTTCAGACGAAAGTCTTGAAAAAACTCTAAATGACTTTCAAACTCAAATAAACAAATACTACTGGGAATTTCAAGAAAAATACCACTCTTTACTAAATGGAACATACTATCTAAAACTAGAATACGACAAGATGAACTCCACAGTTTCATTTCAAAAGATTGAAATTAACCCTCCAAGAGATACAGAGTTTTTATATTGGGGAGTAGACAGACGTTCTTGGGCACAATTTCTTCGGTTACTAAACCAGAACGAACCATTGCCACCAGATGGTCCATTTAAATTTATACTTCCACCAACAGATTTGACAGTTTATAGAAACGTGTTCGATCCTCAAAATGTCATGTGTCATGCAAGTTTCAGTTCAAGCAACAACAGTTTTCTATGTATCGGTAAGGACTTTTATGACTTTGCTTCTAAATTCTACGAACCACCTAGTAACAGTTTCTCTGACTTTCAAGTTTGGTTCACAACAAACGGTGTGCAGCATATTATTCCTTTGTACTATGACTTTTATCTCGAATTGTCTTTCATATACAACTACGGAAAAGTGCTGAAAAAGTATTGAAAAATATATTTTAGATCTCACCAGGTCCCTCGGTCCCTCGGTCCCTCGGTCAACTAACATCTTTTTGAAAATGGTGACAACATGACATTTTGACAACAACACAGGAAATAGATTTCACCCGTTGAATTTTGTATAAAAAGCACCTGCCGGAATTCCGGCGGGTGGTATATTCTTCACAAAATGCTTGTTTTGAGGTTAAGCCACAAACGAATGTCCGACGGTTAAGCCACAAACGAATGTCCGACGGTTAAGCCAAAAATATTTTTTATTTTTATTGTAAGAACAGTATGACAGTCGAAGCAAAAACGTTCACGAACAAATCTAATGGCGAAACATTCACAAAAGGCACCTATAACGGTATTGAAGTCTTACGTAGAGACAAGGATGGTTATATAAATGTAACAAAGATGTGTCAGCAGTTTAGGAAAGACTTTAGAAAGTTGTTGGAAAATAAGTCCTGGGAAGAGTATTATAAGGCATTTTGTGAAGAATATACCAATCGCCGGAATTCCGGCGATTGCTTTTTATACAAAATGCGTGCAGGAATTCCGGATGAAATCAAACAGGTTAGAGGAACGTATGTAGACCCAAGACTTCTAAACTATATAGCAATGTGGGCTTCTCCAAAATATTGTATAACAGTTGGAAAAATTATGGACTCCATAGACAAGAAAGTTCATGAGAAATTAGATGAAGAAGAACTTGAAGATACAGTAGAGAATGCAAAACCTTTGTTCGAAGAAGAAGTTAGAAAAAAGTGCGAAAAACAAATAGAACATGAACGTGAGATATGTTCTGGTTATAGAGATTCTCCATACGAACTAGACCAATGGGAACAAGAAGATTTAAAGAGAGAATTTAGAGAATATGAACTCGCTAAAATTTCATTAGAAGCTGCAGAAGAGAGGTTAAAAGTTTGGGGTCCTTTTGTACAAAAATATTGTGAGTAAATGAACCATTTCTTTTTATTGAATTCGGCAAAAATATATTTTAGGTTAGATGGTTTTTAGGTGTCACTACGTCACCAGGTCACCAGGTAATTTAAACTTCTCTGAAAAAGTGTGACAACATGACATTTTGACAACAACACAGGAAATAAACTTCATCGTACATGTTTTGCCAAGACTTCATCGTCAATGTTTTGTATAAAAAGCAATAGCCGGAATTCCGGCGATTGGTATATTCTTCACAAAATGCTTGTTTTGCCAAGACTTCATCGTCAATGTTTTGTATAAAAAGCAATAGCCGGAATTCCGGCGATTGGTATATTCTTCACAAAATGCTTGTTTTGCCAAGACTTCATCGTCAATGTTTTGTATAAAAAGCAATAGCCGGAATTCCGGCGATTGGTATATTCTTCACAAAATGCTTGTTTTGCCAAGACTTCATCGTCAATGTTTTGTATAAAAAGCAATAGCCGGAATTCCGGCGATTGGTATATTCTTCACAAAATGCTTGTTTTGCCAAGACTTCATCGTCAATGTTTTGTATAAAAAGCAATAGCCGGAATTCCGGCGATTGGTATATTCTTCACGAAATGCTTGTTTTGAGGTCGAGCCATTTTTGGCTCCACCTGTTTTTTCAACCAAAACTCATTTTACTCAGCAAAAATATATTTTGGGTGAAGAGGTGAGATCTCACCTGTTTTTTCACCTCTTTTCTCACCCGTTGAATTTTCATGAATTTTCCCGAAATAAAAAAAGTTAGTTTTTTAAAAAAAATATTTTTTATTTTTATTGTAAGAACATGTTAGCAACAACAGCACCAAACTCGTTAGTCATGAACCCAACTTCAATGTTAGTAGAGATGAAAAGCTTCATTCCTTCTTCATATACTTTCGAAACAGAAATCCAGAAGATAAAGCAAGAACTTCTCCAAGGAGTTTTAGACTGTAGTGCAAAAGATGAAACAAATGAAGAATATCTTTATGAAATGCAGGATATTATTGACCATCTACCTAAACTTCCTGAAATACAACAACAAAAGCTTACTATTCCAGAATTCGATGAAATAGAAGTCAAAGCAACTGACTCAGTAGAAACCAAGAAGTTCATACGTAAGGTAAACTATGAGTTTCTTGGATTTCATTGCAACCACAAAGTCATGGACAAAGACTGCGATATGGTATATAAGAACATCTCTGACATATACAAATCTGAAGAATTTAAGACCTACGACAACTTTGTTTCGTTAGTTGCAAAATGTGTATGGCAGATAAGAGATAAAGATAAAAGAGGTAAAGTATGGAACGAACAGATAAAACCAGCAACCTTTGAGTTAAAGAAAACCATTGACGCCTTAGTTGTACTTGCAGGTTTTATTTCAATGTACAATGCTAAAATGAACCCACAATGTTCAAAATGTAAAGCAGCAATGAGGAAATATAACTACTCCGTCAAAGAGATAGAACGTATGCGAAACGACTATGCTGACTTAAAGAAAGAAGTAGAGAAACCAGCAGAAGATAAAATGGACATGTTGACATTTCTAAACAAAAACTATCCAACAGCTGACGATTTCCTTCTTTCAGATGTCAAGAAGAAATATAAAGAAACCTTCGGCATTGTTAAAACTTTTGACATACTGACAGAAGAAATAGAAGCTACAAAACTGTTTAGAATTTCAAATATACATCGTACAATTCATGTAAAACGCTTGTGAAAAAGAGGTGAGAAAAAAGGTGAGAAAACAGGTGAGATCTCACCTCTTCACCTAAAATATATTTTTGCTGAGTAAAATGACCAAATTTCATGATATAACTGTATTTTTTTGACGAAGTGAACTTTGACACTTCATAAAAAAAATCCCTGAAAGTCTCAACAAAACATTTACGAAGAAGTCTATTTCCTGTGTTGTTGTCAAAATGTCATGTTGTCACCATTTTCAAAAAGATGTTAGTTGACCGAGGGACCGAGGGACCGAGGGACCTGGTTCCACCTAAAATATATTTTTGCTGAAAAAAATGACCAAATTTCATGATATAACTGTATTTTTTTGACGAAGTGAACTTTGACACTTCGTAAAAAAACTCTATGAAATCTTAAAAAAAATGACCAAATTTCATGATATAACTGTATTTTTTTGACGAAGTGAACTTTGACACTTCGTAAAAAAACTCTATGAAATCGTGAAAAATTGCGACCCCGATTTTATTCGGGGTCACTTAAAACTCATGAAAATCGTGAAAAATTGCGAGTACGGAAAAAACCCTGGTCGCCTAAAACTCATGAAAATCGTAAAAAATTGCGAGTACGGAAAAAACCGTAGTCGCCTAAAACTCATGAAAATCGTGAAAAAACTCTATGAAATCATATCTTTTATACAAAATAAAAAAACAACGTTAGTTTTATTTTTTTTATTTTTTTATTTTGTATGTAAGAACAGGAAATGACAAGCACTGAGTTTGAAACAGTTAGAAAGATAGACAATGAGACCAAAGTGGTTAGAATAGGTGATTTAAACGTAAGATACTCAAAGAAATACAAAAAATATTCTTTGTCAGACATTTTAACACTATCTGAAGGAAAGAAAGCACACGACTGGGTTAAAAATGCTTCTACTCAGAAAATTTTGACAAAAAATCCTGAGCTTATGATATCGGTAAGATTCTATGGAACAAGAGCATATCTTATAGACAAAAGTCTTATACCAGTAGTTTTGTTCTGGATTGACCCAGTTGTTGGATATAATTTCATAACATATGGTTCATTCGATACGGAACGTTGCAGTGAAGGCTTACTTTACATCGTTCAGAAACCGAAGGACTTCAACACAAAAAGATATAAGATAGGAAGAACATTTAATATAACTCAAAGATATGACAGTATAGTCAATAGAGTTAAGGTTGCGTTTGTTAACGATATGAGAGCTGCTGAAACAGAACTACTTGAAAAGTTTGAGAAAATGTATGGTGCTCCCACGAAAGGTAAAGAAACGTTTGAAGTAGATGAGATCGACAAAGCTATAAAATTATTTGACGAAGTTGCTGAAAAATACATGTAAAGCGTTTATTTTTGGTCTTTTATACAAGATAGAAAATAGCGTTAGTTTTTATAAAATATTTTTTTTATTTTGTATGTAAAGACAGATATGACAACAACAGAGAACACAACAACTGCTATCGTTCATGAAGCCATAAGTGAAGAATACGAGTGGGTTCAGTATAACAAACAGTTACGTCTCATTCGTTCGGTCAAAGATGACATGTACCAAATGCAAAGTATTTTGACAGCATGTTTTGCTCCAGATACCAAGCTTCCTAAAGACTGGTTTAGGAACCAAAGCACTATTGAACTTTTGAGCGAAGCACAGCGAGACAGACTTTTTTCTGAAAATCGTGAAGAACAGCGAGTGGGAGAAAAACCCCAGTCGCCAAAACTCTATGAAAATCGTGAAAATTTGCCAAATGGTTTGAGAGGTTGGTATGTACATAGACTTCTTGTAAATGCTGTTGCAATGTGGGCTTCACCTCGTTATGCTTGGTATATTTACAGACTTCTTGACGAACTTCATAGACAAGAACGTGAAGAGCTAGAGAACAAGCTTGAAGCAAAAGACAAAAACATACAGAAAAGAATACCACGTTCGGTACCAAAAGGAAAGGAAAAGAACTATAAGTATATGATTTACACTGAAGAGATGGAAAATGAAGAAGACAGAGATATGGTTATGTTGCATTTAGTCAGAAGAAACAACAAAAGCTTTTACGACCTTGCTAAGATTTACAAATCTGACAGAAATTGGTTCTATCGCGAAAACTTACCGATTTCAATGACACCAAATGAAGATGTTAAACAGATAGTTCAAGATACGTTACCTCAAACACACTATGATATGAAAGGTTATACAATACTTACATTCAAAGAAGATTTACCGCTACTGAAAGAAAAAATAACAGAGTATTTTGACAACTTCAAAGAGGAAGAGTAAATGAACCATTTATTTTTCAAGCTTGACACCAAAGATGGCTCAGGTAGCTCTATAAGGTAAATTGTCTTGTCCGAGTCCTTCCTTCCGACAGGAAAAGTTTTTCCTTCCAACAGGAAAAAAATTTCCTTCCAACAGGAAAAAATTTTCCTTCCAACAGGAAAAAATTTTCCTTCCGACAGGAAAAATTTTTCCAGTTGTCCGTCCGTAAACCATTCAAATTTTCGAAAATTGAGAACTTTTTGGCCGACCTTCAGGAAAAATTTTTCTTTCCGACAGGAAAAATTTTTCTTTCCGACAGGAAAAATTTTTCTTTCCGACAGGAAAAGTTTTTCTTTCCGACAGGAAAAGTTTTTCCTTCCAACTGGAAGAACTCTTCCTTCCGACAGGACACAAACGGATGTCCGACGTACCACCAACCGAGTCCATTCCAAAGCCAGAAGAACCGACAGCCCCAGCACCACAACAGACTAAGACTCAAACACTTACATTTTTACGCTTGACTTTTTACAATTTGAACTTTGTTTGCGTAGATGTGAATTCTGAAAGAAGTATGAGGGTCTTGTATGACTTTGTACTTCTCCCATAGTTCATGTCTGTCAAACTTACCTGCCATGGACTCTTTCATAAGTTCCATGAAATCGTCTTCGGACAATCCGGGGAAAAGTATGATATCAGTAAGTATTCTCTTTACATCCTTACTTAAACTCTTGGCTGTCTGTACACAAATGACAACTGAAATGTTAAAGTGTCTGAGCTTCTTAAGAATTCGACACATGTCTTGTTCTCTGTTCTTTAACAAAGGATGAGAAGCAAAGTCATCTAAGATAAGAAGACATCTGTGAGGGTAAGTCTTCCAATCGTAAGATTGCAATTTCTTCGAAATGTATTCTATCTCTTTCTGTTTGTTTCTGAAGTGTTTCTTCTCTAATATTCTCTGCATTTCCTCATTTGGGTCTTTAAACTTAGAATTGACATACTCATTTATAGCATTGTACTTCAAAACTCTTCTTTGGTACTTCTT